GGTGCCTGGGCTGCTTTGGGTGTAGGGACCTTCCTGAAAGCCGCCAGTCCTCAAACAATCACTTAGCCTCCCTCCTTCCTTTCTCTGTCCTCTCACGTGCTTCTGTCCATATACTGCAACCCCCCACCACGCCAGACTGTCCCCTTCTTGGCTAAGGCCCCAGGCACCCAGAGCACCCACTTGTTTCCAGCACTCACCTGGGCTCTAGGTTCCACTTCTCTGTGCAGGCATCTGTCCTGCCTGTCCTCCCTCCCTTCCTCTCCTCCCCTTCTCCTCCCTTCCTCCCTCCTCCTCCTCCTTTTCCAGCTCCTCCCTCCTCCTCCTGACTCTTCTCTCCTCCCTTCTCCCCTCCATCTTCTCTCCCTTCCTGCTTTCCTTCTCCACCCACATCCCCGCAAGAGACACTGCCCCTTCCTGTTGGTCGGCTCATCGCCTGAGGTAGCCTCAACTCCAGCTGTGGTGCCTGGCCCTCCCAGTCATGTTCTCAGCCCCTTGTCCATCCCCTCCCATCCATGGGGTCTCAGCCTCCCCCAGCCTTTCCAGCTTCTGGACAGCTAGGGCATCCACCAGGCAAGTGCGCGGGGTTTTGCCAGGTACAGGTGACTCTCAGAGGGGCCTGCCATGCTTTTCTTATATATATGGTGGCCACGGGCTGTTCTCCAGCAGGGTCGGTTCTCCTGATCTCAGGAGCTTTCCCAAGGCTCGGACAGCTTCCTGCCTTTCATTTACCTGGGTGCGGAGCGCCTTCCTCCAGCTGCTTTGAGCCCCTCAAGGCCACCCGCTTTCACGCCCAGCTGCCTCCCCCCCCCCTTTTGGGCACCACTCCTCCACCTTCAGGACTTCTGCCTGCTCCAGCCCTTCTCCCAGCCCCCCACCAGCAGTTCGCTGGAGAGGCCTTTCTGCAGCTGTTCTCGTCCCCAATCTGTCCCAGGCCAGCACTCGGTAGTCCCCAGCCGCCGGAATCGTGCTGCGGAGGGCTGGTCACCCCTCAAAGAACCACCAGCTTTAGAACACTGCCATTCATCGGGGCCCTTGTGTGAAGACGCCTGCTTTCTCAGGGCAGATGTCTCCCAGAGGTTGACAGCCTCTTTCTCTTTAGACAGTCATCTAACTCTTTGAGCCCTTACCTGGCTGCTGGGAGCTCAGGGACTTTGTTCTGTCACCTTTGAGCTGTCACAGCCTGGTCCTTTCCCTCTAGTAGCTGAGTGTCCCCTGGTGTGGGGTTCGCCCCAACGTGTGCCTTTGGTATTCTCAGCCTCCTGAAATTGGTGGGTTCATGGTGCAGGCTGAGTCACCCCTGTTCCAAACTGGATGGTCGCAGCCCCTCCTCTGCCCTGTTCTTTCCTCACTCTCGGGCTGAGGGACTTGGGGCCACCAGGGAGGCCCCATTCCTTGTTGTGACGTTTCCTCCTCCTGACACCCTGGGAAACAGTCACCTGCTCTCAGAGCTGTCACCCCTAGGACATGGGATCTAATCAAAGAGCCCAGTAATTTGAAGCTGGGTGACTGAATCATGGTTTTAAAACCTTGAGCTTTTGACGCACCACTTGCTTTTTTTTTCTTTTAATAAACTTTCAAATATATGTGTCATTAATTAAAGTTCTTTTTAAAAGGCTAAAAGATTTATAATGACCAGAGAAACCAGAGAGACACCCAATCCAAATTCTTTAAAACAGACCATCCTGTTAACTGAGATGTCAAGGAGCACTTGGTCCTATTCTAGCTTGGGCATTTAGGGTTTGGGGGTCTGCCAGCCTTTGGGATTCTCCAGCGCCACCCCCAGGCTGGAGGGTTCCCCCCCAGGAACTGTGGAAGACACCAGTGCTCAGTCCAGCCTGGGAGGGAACGTCGGCTTCTCACCTCCCGCCCCTAGGGGTCTCCAGGTCCCCGGGCGCCTGGGAGAGGTGCAGGAGGCACTGGGCAACTGCATGACGGGCAGGAGCAGGGTTGCTGGCAGGGTCGCTCTGGAACCCATCGCCGCTTTCAAGGTGCCACAGGGTTTAGTGTCTCCTGAACCTGAGCTGGCTGGGCGCCCCCAGCCTCCCGTGGTTGGGACCAAGCCAGTCCGCTTTCTGGGTTGCAGGGTGGTCCGGAGCAGAGCTTAATTTTATCACCCATGAATGTTCACTGAGCCGGGCCTGGGGTCTCTGTTCAGCTGGGGCTGGGAGGAGGGGGCACGGGAGCTCAGTCTCATGGGAAGACGTCAGAGTAGGGGAGGCTGAGGGTCAGCCGAGGTGGCATGGGGCTGGCAGGCACGGCAAAAAGCCGGGCAGGGGGGTCCACCGCTGAACCACCAGAGAGGCCCCGCTGCCTGGCGCCACAGGCGTGGCAGCCGGTAGGGAGGGTGGGGTCCCTGCACAGGCTTGAACTGGAGCTGGGCTGAGGGGGATGCTATCGTGATCGCTGCCTGGTCTAGGGGCACCCCAGGATCAGCCCTGTGCTCATGTAGTTCCCAAGTCACGCCTCCTGGGCTTGGCTGGTTTTCATGCTGAGGTGATTACCACACGCGGCTCCAGCCGACCGCCAGTGGCGGCCCTCTCATGGTTAACGGCACGCCGGGCGGTGGGGAGTTGCCTGTCTCCCCATCGGGAGACACTGACCCGAAGTCCCTCCCTCCCCCTCCCCCCCCCCCTGGCTTTTTGTGCTTTCCCTGCACTAGACTGCGCCGCTTGTCCCTCCACGCTGGGACCCCTGTGATTTAGGGACGTCCCCCATGAGGGACAAGGGAACCCTCCAGTCAGGCTACTCCCTGCAGACTGCCTCCCCCACCCCACCCGCCTCCGGCTGTTTCTGGAGAAGCCGCCACAGGCTGGGCCCGGGCTTGGTCTGGGCTGGCAAAAAAAAAAGCCGAGCTGGGAGCCAGACCATGCAAGCGATGGCTGCTGCCCATGGGGACAGGCTGCACCCTGCCCAGCTAGGGGGGTCAAGCTCACTCTGGTGACATTTCAAGCACAGGAGGCCTGCTCCTCTCCTTCCTTCCTGTTTAGCTAATAGACTTGGGTCAATTTGAGTAATGTTGATCGGGGTCAGCTTCACCGGCAGCTGGAGACGCTGGGCTCCAGGCTCCCAAAGGGGCCTCTCCCTCTGAGGGCCCCGCCCAGCCTATAATAGGGGTGCCATCTCAGGGGTGCACCCCAGAGATTTCATCTCCTCCAGCCTGGCTTCTCCCTCCTCCGCACCCCCAGCCTGGGATGTACCTGCTGTCCCCACCCCCACACATACACCTTCCTTCCTTCCTGGCTGAGGGGCTGCTTTCAAAACTTAGGGGCATCCACTTCAAATGCCCTGTTCAGCCCTCCCGGCTGCACCTGCTTGGGGGGTGGAACACCTGCCGCCTCGATTGCAGACCTGTGGCTCCAGCCCCTGCCCCCCCCCTATCTCACTACCAGCTTCTGACTCTCCTCACCCGGAGCCACTGCCCAATCCCACCCTCCTCCTCCATTAG